AATTGTTTGTTCTGGTTGTTGTTTAAGTTTTTTGTGTTTATTTTGGTTAGTTGTTAATCCCAGTTTTTCACATTTCAGTATCTGTACTTACTTTAAGTTATTTTGTTACGTATCTAAATAATAATTTGCCAGCCAATTCCTACTGATCACATTAAATGACCTACTTTCTTGTTTGACGTTTATTTTCATAGCCAACTTTTGAATTTTCGCTGATTTTAAATAACACACCTAGAGCGCGCGTTTTAAGTTATTCGAGTTTTTGATGAAAATGATGAGTTTTTTCGAAAAATTACTAGAGTAAGAAAAGTTTAAGAATTGAATTGCCCACAAAACAAAGCAAAGATTTTTAAAATCCATCAAGGGTTAACAAAATTCTGTTAAATATTAATGGTGCGCCACCCAGTATACCCCCTTTACAAATTTTAATTAAACTCTAGTTACTGTCAAGTAACGCCCTAAATACATCCACAAAGTGTACCAAATTTGGTTGCTTTAAGTTCAAGAATAACGGAGATATTGTTTTTTTTTCAAAATTTATAACTTCACTTTCAAAGCCTATAACTCCTTAGGGAAGCAACTTGGTATAGAGGTAAGTTGCGTTAAATTGCCATATTTTGGGACCCCCTATATGCCCCTGCTCTATGTCGGTTCTTATGTGAATCACCCTGTATATCTAGGTTTGAATTATGTTGACAGATTGTTGACATTGGACTTGGATTTTAAATTATGAGAATTAATTGGAAAAATATGTAGTAGACAAGTAGCAAAATTAAATTTATAAAAATGTATTAACAATTGACGAAAATAACACTATGGTGTGGACATAAAATTCTTGGAGCATTAGATTTACGGTGGTACAAAACCTTGGTTATTAGTGGGATCATCGGTAGGTGATCCAAGAGGAAATATAAAGTCAAGGTTAAGGTGTAAGCTAGAATTTTCGAAGACGAAATGAAATATACAGAAAATATCAAAAATGGAGCTTCCAGATATTATGCTATCCAGGTATAACTTCTGTATATATAGAGGTTATAGATGTGTAGTAAAAAAATAACCTATTGGGAAGTCTGAATTTAAGATTGATACGCCATCTGTTTTCAACCTTGGAACTTCTCAAGAAGTGAATTGAAAACAGACATATTTTATATTTATTGCGCTTTTTATAAGAAAAGTCATACTTTTTCCAGATTATATTGTTATTAATTTTTCGGTTATGTAGTAGTAGTAGTTTATGACACTTTTATTTGAATACTTTCTAATTTAAAATTAATCTTATCTTTTCATTTGGTAAGTATAAGTAGATTTTTTTGGTGTTACTTTTATTTCATATATGTTAATTTAAGACATTTACTATATTTTTTTATCAAAATTTGTGGTAAAATAAAAATTATATCTCCGTTTCCGAAAGTTTGCAAAACTCGAATATAGATGTAATAACTAATAGAGATAATAGGAATATGAAACTCAATAGGAAAGTGTTTGAAATATTGGAGATTCAAGTACCATGGTTTAGTGATTACTATAAACTATAATATGCATTTACGGAAACAGTAACCTTAGGTTACATTGATAACTGTGAGATCTAAATATGAGATTTAGCAATCATATTTAACTGTGCTATTGAACTGTGAGATTTCACTATGATATTTAAGTATGAGATTTAACTGTGAACTCTTACTTCGACTTCGACTACCGAGGCCAGCCAGGTCGAAAAAAAGACCACAAAAAGGCCAAGATCGGAAGTACATATATCCCCTACAGATCGGAAAGTGGAAAAGAAGACCAAAATTGAAGGGGTAACCGGCTTTCCAGAGGCACTTATGGAAACGGAGCAGCAAACAGCTGTCGAAGTTTCAATAAAAAGTGCCTACGAAGGTATCCCCATGGAAGGGCTACAGGTGCGTTTTGCCAAATGCACACACAGGCCGGGATACATTGTAGTACGTTGTGCAGACAGCCTTAGTGCACAATGGTTAAAGGATGTGGTGCCCGCGATTAGGCCCTGGGAGGGTGCAACCCTCGAGGCTCGGCAGGACATCGACATCCCAAAACCAAGGATATGTACAACGTACATAGCAGAACCTCTGGAAGGTTCTGACACCAACTCAAATGGAAAAAGGCCAAACTTGGGCCATCTCCGTGGACGAAGGATCATATACCGAACTCCAGAAGCTAGACATGTCATCATACTTTGGGATGGGACGTATAAAGTTCCGTCTCAAAGAAATGGAACATGAAGAAAAGGAGAGGAACAGGGCAAAACCGGTCCAAAAAGGCTCCAAAACAAAGCCGGTGGGGCAAAAGGTCAAGGCCAAAATGGATCAAAAAACACCAGACTTCAGAAAGCCGGCCGCCCAAAGGACGAACGTCGCCAAGGGCAAAGAAGGCAAGAAGTCCGCCAAAGACCCCTCTACCAAAAGTGGTGGAAGCCCTCTCAAAAGGCCACAAAGCCCCAAGTCAGTTTCCCCAATGGAGGTAGAGGAAGGTCAAAGGGCAGATCTCACGGCGCCTTCAACAAGCCACAGCGGGGCATAAATGTCCTGCAGGAGAACGTCCACCATGCTAGGGCAGTATCTGCCATAATATGTAGGACGTTCGACACGGAAGGCTTGGATATAGCCCTCCTGCAGGAATCTTGGCTTGTTTGTAAAAAAGTCGCGGGACTAAAACCGCAACAAGGTAAGCTATTATACAGCAAAGGGAATGAAAAACCCAGCGCTTGTATAATCTACAGCAACAGGGTTAATTGTACACTAATACCGGTGCTTTGTATCGGTAATTTTGTTACAGCTATGCTATCAATCCAAACGGAAGAGATTGCCCATTGCGAGGAGCAGAAACTCAACCTCACAATAGGATGCGATGCGAATGCACACCATCCGATCTGGGGAAGCACCAACATTAATCTAATAGGTGTCACTATTACAATTCATTCTAGGTGAAGGGTTAGAAATTGCCAATAATGACAACAAACCAACTTTTGTCACTGCCAACCGAAAAGAAGTTCTAGATATGACCATGTGACTCGTACATCAGACAGCTTTAGAAATCCGAGAGAGACGAATTGGGAAGGGTACATAAAATCCCTCGAGGAGTTTCTCATTAAACAATGGATGCAAAAAGAGTCTCAGAAATAGTGGCACAACTATCCAAGACTGAGACAGGCCAAACAATTCATCAAGAAACCATCGGCCAAGTTCAAAAGCGTCAAATCGAACAGTAGGTCTTCTTACTGGACCCTGTCGCCTTAAAGGGCACATGAGTGTCATCAATCCTGCAGAAGAAGCAATTTTGTGCAGGTTCTGTGAAGAAGAAGAGGAAACATCATTCCACGTCCTGTTCCAATGTGAAGGCCTGGCTGGAATGAGGTTTCTAACATTGGGTGAAGAAAAGCCAAATGCATGCAACTACATGCGGGAGCCACTATCAAAGCTATTAAGTCTAATAAAAAAGACCAGGCTAGACGACATAATCTAAAACAAACGGAGTCCCACAATAGATCTGAAAAGGTCGCAGTGGACAAGGACAAATAACGTCCAACTCCTAATCTAATCTAATCTACTGTAAGAATTAACTGTGAGATTTAATGGTGAGATTTAATGGTGAGATTTAATTATGAGATTTAACTATGAAATTTAACTCGAAAGCGGGTAGTTATTGAAATGTTTCCGAGCTCATGAGAGTTACAGTTTACGGTCCTTTTAATGTGCATGTCTGTCAAATTTATGAATTTTAATTTTACACTGTAACACGTTGTCACATTTATTTATTCGTTGAAAATATGTTAGCTTTTTTATCAAAAAAATATTGCGACACCGTTTAATTCTAAACAAAATTCGTACTTATAGTAGGTAACTGTTTGTTAAAACAATATAAAAGCTTGTAATTTACGGTTTATTCAAAATTTGAGAATATTCATAAACTCCTTTAAAACACACTCAATAGAATCAACTCTAACTTTTCTTTTGTGTTGTTGCCATCCAGACCTTTCAACTACTTACACAATTTATGCACAGTATACATTACAGACAATCTTTTTCGTGTCTTGCAGAAACTTAAAAGCAACGTGCGTTGAAATGTTCGAGGCAGTAACATTATAATACCGCTTTTAAAGTAGAATTACCATAATAATTAGCAAAGTAAGGGCTTTAGAACTCCCACTTCCATGCTACGTTACAAATCGTGAATGCAGTTTAATTTACAACCAGAACTGCAACTGAGACTTCGTATTTATCATATTATACACTCATGAGCGGTGCCGAGGGGCAAAAGTGTTTTTTCTTCAGTGTTGAAAAACTTTCTATTTAATGTTTTAAATTTTTTTATTTTACAAAAATTAAAAAAATTACTTTAAAAGAGGAGTACTACGAAACTCGTGCTATACTTATCTGAAAGCCAAATAAATAAGTTTGGTACTAAATATAAAACGTTGGGAATTCGCAATATCCACAAATCCAACATAAAAATAATTGTCAAGGTAAATCCCTACTAAATAACTTTTTATTTTGTTTTCCAAGCATTTCTACTAAAAAAATATCGTACACCAGACGGTACAAATGCTCAGTTTTTATGCGCAATAAAGTATAACGACCAAAAAACACTTTTTAACCCTTTTTTACGTCCAATCCCAAATAAAATTATCATGGACGTGACTATGGCGGTGTATCGACGGGAATTTTAATAAATTGAGTTCTGTAATCGGAAAATATGCCGTGAAATTCTGAAATGGAATCAGTTTGACAGTTCATATCAATTTGTGTATTTACTATTGTTATTTATAAACGATAATATAAAAAAAATAATAAAACTCTCGAAAATTTTGAGAATATTATTATTATTTTATTATTAATTTGTTATTTTGATTGATTGCGATTAGAGTTTATATTTCTTAACGATAGAGCTCTAAAATTATTTAAAATTTACTTTTTATTTTGGTACTCCTGTTTATCTTGTGAAAATTAATTATATTTTTTTTGTATTCAATTAATTGGTGTACTTACTATCTGGATCTTCGTCTGATAATAAAGTGTCCAATTCCGCGTCGTCAAAATGGTGTCCTAATGTTGTGAGGATGGTCCTGACTTTCTCCCTGTCGATGTTTCCTTTTTTACCAGAATCGAACATAGAAAATGCTCTCTTAAGTACTACAAAAAAAATATAAGTTGATTAACAGTCTATCAAGAAGTAAATAATTTTGGACAAATGCAATTAACTGTTTCATTTGTGATACAAAGATAAACAATGACGAAACACTTCCTGCTTATTTATAAATCTCAAAAACTGAGAAGAGAAATCCTAAATCACAAAGAAGAATCCTTCAATAAGTTGCTTACAAATGGCTCTTATTTATTAGAAGATTTGTGTTTGGCGAGTATCGGCTAACATCGGCCGATATAAGAGAAGCACTTCTTGGCGACATTGTCAACTACATTAAATCTGTAAGCTGGCTCACGAGCTAGGAAGTGTCTATCATCTTAGGAGGATGCACAATGGGCCTAGTGAAGCCTAAGTGCCGTGGGGGTATCCCACACGTTACAGATACAAAAGAAGACACACTATACAATCTTAAATAAATAACACTTGAATGATATACAAAAGTGAGTTTTTTTTGTGAAGTAAAAATGACAAATGACATAAGTCAAAGTTGGCACCTCAAAACATTAATATAAAATAAACTAATTACTGTCATAAATAAAAACTTATAAGGTCTTGCAGTTGAAAAAGTAATAAATAAATACTAGATCAAGACTAAGAGAACAGGTGGAACAAATATGAATCTACCAGTAAAAGTAAAAATAATCTGAATAACCGAAAAGTATAAGCGAAAATGATAAGTAGAAGTGATAAAAAGAATAGGAATAGAAGAAGATAATGAAGATATGTCAGTGCCAAAGTCAAAATAATATCAAAACATAAATATTAAAGAATAACATGGTTATAAGGTTATAAGATGAAATTAGAAGAGTAAGAGAAATGAGAAAATTAATGAAGAAATACAAAGAAAAAGAAATCGTCTTTACAATTGAAGGGGGTATGTATATACCAGTGGCGGCGATAAGGCCCCCGCAAGACCCGCGGCGTGGGAGGGCCCGGCCGAGTGGGGGCCCCACAAGGCCGTATTTAGGGGGCAGGTTTTAGGGGTTAGAAAGCAACATTGCAATTAGGCATTCCAACGACCTGTCCAAATGGCTACCAGTGGAGACTGACAGTTTAGATATGGCAACCCTGTTGTCATGATGTCATTAACAGGGTCAATGATACATATATATTGCCATATTGCCTGGCAACTATTTATTAATTTAAATCGGTTTAGCAAAAATATGTTTTAAAACCAATTTTCATCCTTTAGATATTTAAAAAAAAATAATTGCTTACATTTTTATTTCAAAGCATAAACTTATGTTTATTTTGAAAAATATGGATGATCAATCTATGTAACTATCTATTTCATTGACCTTGTCTAATCACCAGGCCTACAAGGTTGCCATAATTTTGTCAAAACCCACTGGTAGCCATTCAGTTTGGAATGCCTAATTAGCAGATTTTGCATTAGTAAGTTTTTTTTACATTATTTTCCATATTTTAATTATATGACGATAATAACAATTAGCAGTGGTGAATCTAGATGGTAGCCAGAGGAGCCCGGGTTCCTATCAAACCTCATATTGCGTATGTTTTCTCTTTACGGTTGATTCGCATTTATCTCCCTCTTACATAGAGGGGACTAGAGGGGCCCGGGTCCCTATCAAACCTCACATTGCGTAAGTTTTCTCTTTACGGTCGATTCACATTTATCTCCTTCTTATATATGTATTGTATGAGTCCCCCCCCCCCCCAAAAAAAACATGTCTAGATACGCTACTGACAATTAGTACTTATATTGTCACATAATTTTGCGGGAGGGCCTCCAAATGTTTACTGCCGCCTCTGGTATATACGTTAAATATATTCTTGATAACAATTGAACAATTTTATGTCTCAGTGTGCTTGTGTCAAATCGATTTAATTATAATTTGATTAGTTTTCTCTTATTCAATTAAAAATGCTTCTATTCAAATTTAATGTACATGTGCATTATGGACTGATATTTTACAATAGCAAAACAAATTATCGCTTGCATTATTAAAAGGTAAACTGAAAATAAAACACAATATTTAGATAGCAGAGACAATTTACTTTTGACCTTTGACTTAAAAGTATTAAGCAGTTTATTTGAGGTATATTACGACATATTCGAATAAAAAAAATTAATCTCTGGTCAAAGGTATAAAATACTTTCAGTATTTGCTCGTTTTGTGTTCCTGAATTCTCGATTTTACTTTCACTATTTCTCCTGGTCCTTTTGGTGGCTGATTTATTTCATCTTTTCCTTTTACCTTGTCCCTTATATATTTTTCCTTCTATCCGTTTTTACTAGTCCTTATTATGGTTCTTCTCCTGTATTTCTTTTTTCTTCTGCTTTTCGATATCCAACTATTCTGTCGATGTATTTTTCCTTGATTTATTATTTTTATTTCCTTTTCTACATAAATGTTTTATTGCTAAACCTAACCTTGATTTTATCTTTATTAATATTTATATTGCATCCTTCCTCTTTCACATTTTTCCATTCTTTTATTGTATTTTCTTTCATCACCTCAATATTTACCAAATATATAGTCGCGTCAAAGTAGGACTAAAAACGCAGAAACTTCGAACTTTGGTCGGAAAGGTTCGATTGGGCTATTTTTTTCTGCAAAATGTTCATTGAGACATGAGATTCAAAGTTCACCAAAATCTAGATGCCGCTCGGCCTCCCTCCCGCCCCAAATTCACCCCAATTGAGGGGAATTCTCGGCTTTTTTCAACATGCCACATACTTTCTAAAACTGCAGTCCCAAGCGGGGCAAATGTTCCACTCGGGGGGTTTGAAGTGCCCTGAATCCATTATTTAGGTTAGGTCGCCTTTGCGACCTTCCCAGGGGTGTGTGACAGGGCGTCTGGGGGTCCAAAATATGAGATGTCTGTGGAAATGTGTTTGGGCTGCCAAGTTACGTCAGGGGGGTTTAGAAGGGCAGAGATCTCAATTTCATCGAGAATTAAGCCTTTTTAAGTCATAAGAGCCGTATACACAGGGGCACATGAGGTCTCAAATTTCATGATTACGCGGGATTGAATTTCAGGACACAGAATTGGTACGCGATAGTGTTATAAAACTACAAACTCTATATTGGGCAGCCTGTCATCCTGTGACCCAACCAGGGGTGTCCAAAAGGGGTGCCGGAGTCCAAAATATGAGATTTTATTTTATTTGATATCAACATGTAAAATTGATATAATTCCGCCAGCGAGTATACTCCTTGGCCTTTTTGAGTCTCTGACGAACCCAGGTATGAGCGATAGGGGTTCCAAGGGGCCCCAAATTTAAATTCTCGTAAAATTCCATTTTCTCATACAAAGTTGGTATGATGAAGGTTTGTAAGAGTGTAATTTTATGTTGCCCTGGCTTGCAGGCAGGCGGCTCCAGAGCTCCACGAATGAGGGTGCTGAGGGGGTGAAACTATCAAGTTTCCCCTGGGACTCGATTTGATTCGATTTCATTATATAAAATTCATATAATTGCGCTGACCAGGCAGCTAACCAATGGTTTATTCGAGTGGCATTTAATCTCAGCCAATACAACGATGTTTAGGGTTGGGGCACTTGGCCATCACATCACACGAAATCTTGAAGGTTCTTAATTGCAATTCTTTATCAGAGTTATACACTCTTGAACCTCCCGGAAAACGGTTTGCTGGGGATCTAAATCTGCAATTCATCTCAAAAAGACCAAGAAGTATACTCGGTGGAGAAATTATATCAATTTTACATTTTGATATCAAATAAAATATAATCTCATATTTTGGGCCCAGCACCCTGTTCGGACACCCCTGGTTGGGTCACAGGATGACAGGCTGCCCAAATTTAGATTTGTTTGTTTTATAACACTAGCGCCTACCAATTCTGTGTCCTGAAATTCAATCCCGCGTGATCATGATATTTGAGACCCCATGGGCCCCTTTTTATACGACCCTGAGGGCTTGAAAAGGCTTAAATCTCGATGACATTGAGATATCTGCCATTCTAAACTCCCCTATCGTAATTTGGGAGCCCAAATACATTTCCACGGACATCTAGTATATTGAAGACCCAGTGGCCCTGTCACCCACCCCTGGGAAGGTCGCAAAGGCGACCTGACCCAAATAATGGATTCAGGGTACTTTAAAACCCCCGAGTGGAACATTTACCCCGCTTGGGACTGCAGTTTTATGAAGTATGCGCCTTTTGTTGAAAAAAGCCGAGAATTCCCTCCAATTGGGGTGAATTTGGGGGGAGGGAGGCCGAGCGGCATCTAGATTTTAGTGAACTTTGAATCTCATGTCTCAATGAACATTTTGAAAAAAAAATTAGCCAGATTGGACCTTTCCGACCAAAGTTCGAAGTGAAAACCTACTTTGACGCGACTAATAGTCGAAATATAATCAAACGCTGATCTATTGACTCTTCAAATTGGTTAATCGTCAATCAACAATAATTCAATCAATTTGATTTGTATTCAAAATCCACATAATATTTTCCTAAATCGGGACAAATCCTTTCATCAATGAAAAATCTGCGAAAACATAAAATTCCACCCATTCAACGAACTTCAAAAGTGTGTCATAAAGTATTTGTTGAGCCACCAAGCCAATATTTATGCTTTCCCGAATTCAATGTCAAAATGGTTTATTAATTTGGCAGGACATAAAGGTGTAATTATTTTTAAAAGAATCCAAAAATATCCCGCCGCGAATTCTCAACGTGTTATTAAAATTAGTGACTATCCGGTTGCCAATTTATGGACAGCATTTTTCTGGAGAAATGTAAACAATTTATCGAAAATAGGAGGCGAGAAATGCGTTGAATGCAAATTAAATAAATGCAATTTTGAAAATTGCATCAGCGATTTCATTCATATGTAAAAACGTATAATTTACTAACAAAAAAAAATAGTCATTTGCTGCCGATTAAATAAAATACGACTGGGTATTGATAAAAATAAAATAAAAACGCTTTTTCCACATTATCTTATAAGAAATTGATTGAAATATTAATAGTCCGTATCAATAAAAAATCTT